TGGAAACATTGCTGACAGATAATTTTGAAGACGAAGAACTTTTTCTTGCCATTTTCAGATTTTTCTGTTTGGCAAGACCCACACGTGACTTTTCGTTATATAGGAGTGTTCTAATTGGAGTCAAGTCTACGTTCCTAACCGCAAAATTATCGATCGTACGCATTCCTGGTATAATCGAAGGATATCTGTTTCCAATAAATGGGAAAAAATATATTACTGATTTTAGTTCATAACCCTCCGAACGATTGTCTTAATTACCAAACTTGGGATCGACTCACTCCTGCTATTTATGATATAGGGATAAGGTGCACTGGGTTGACTTCTCGTCAAACGATGCCTCGCAGCAAAGTTTCATAGATTTGATTATAGAAAAAGACATGGAACAAATAGTTGACTTTAACACGCGTGCAATCGGTACCCTAGACAATGTTTTCATTAGTAAATATATTGAAAAACAATCTTATTACAAACAACTGGTAAACTTAATAATATGTCAATTCATATAGGAGTTATTTGTGAATTTAGCATCGGAATGATATGTCAATTCATGTAGGAGTTATTTGTCTATATAGCATCGGTATACATCAAGCTTTACAAAACAAAATAGAAGAATTGCAAAATTCAGCTGCTGTAGTGGAGATTACAATCGGTTATACGAGCTTGTAATAGATAAGCTTTTCCAAGGTGTTTGTTGGAGCAATTCCAATATTCTCTTAGACCAAAGGTTTGCATGGGTATTCGAAATAGTTTATTTGTAAATCAGTACTGCGTAGAGCAGCTCATAGGTCGTCTTTAGCACCATGGATCAATCAGGCCATATGAAATATACTAAAAAAGCTTAAAACGCTCAAATTAAACAAGGTGTTAATGTAAACAAATTATCTATGCTACAAAACCAATGTTTGAAGATGATCGAGGAGGACCCAACCGAATTTGAAAGCAACTTAGCTAATAATAGATCTACAATGATTTATTTAGATATTCTCGGTCCTTTAAACAAAGGTTACGATCTTTTGTTTATCTAAACCAAAACATGCAAAGGACCCCTTTATGCAAGCTGAATTGTTTTCCAAATTTTCTCTTTAATATTTTTCGTTCTTACACATTTACTCTACCCACTGACTATCCTAATTTACTGGAAACCACTGATTTCGACATATCGGAACTCACTATTGAATCAATATGCTTGGACTAGACAAAAAAAGCAAAAGCCCGGACGGGATTCCCGCAATTGTATATAAGAACTCTAATAGAATCATCAGAAAAGAGATACTTCCGTAAGCGTTGGGAATTGATCCAAAATGGCAATCAAAAGTCAGAATTTAAAATTAAGAACATTGAGTTTTTTGTAAAAAATGCTATAATCGAGTGTTCACTATCTCCAAATTCGTCTTCTAACAACTTAACTTTTTTATTGTTCAACATTAGAAGCATGATCAATCTCGAAAAAAGGAAAAAATTAGCCAACTTCGTCAATACATTTGGTTTCGATTTCTTCTTAATGTGGAAACATTGCTGACAGATAATTTTGAAGACGAAGAACTTTTTCTTGCCATTTTCAGATTTTTCTGTTTGGCAAGACCCACACGTGACTTTTCGTTATATAGGAGTGTTCTAATTGGAGTCAAGTCTACGTTCCTAACCGCAAAATTATCGATCGTACGCATTCCTGGTATAATCGAAGGATATCTGTTTCCAATAAATGGGAAAAAATATATTACTGATTTTAGTTCATAACCCTCCGAACGATTGTCTTAATTACCAAACTTGGGATCGACTCACTCCTGCTATTTATGATATAGGGATAAGGTGCACTGGGTTGACTTCTCGTCAAACGATGCCTCGCAGCAAAGTTTCATAGATTTGATTATAGAAAAAGACATGGAACAAATAGTTGACTTTAACACGCGTGCAATCGGTACCCTAGACAATGTTTTCATTAGTAAATATATTGAAAAACAATCTTATTACAAACAACTGGTAAACTTAATAATATGTCAATTCATATAGGAGTTATTTGTGAATTTAGCATCGGAATGATATGTCAATTCATGTAGGAGTTATTTGTCTATATAGCATCGGTATACATCAAGCTTTACAAAACAAAATAGAAGAATTGCAAAATTCAGCTGCTGTAGTGGAGATTACAATCGGTTATACGAGCTTGTAATAGATAAGCTTTTCCAAGGTGTTTGTTGGAGCAATTCCAATATTCTCTTAGACCAAAGGTTTGCATGGGTATTCGAAATAGTTTATTTGTAAATCAGTACTGCGTAGAGCAGCTCATAGGTCGTCTTTAGCACCATGGATCAATCAGGCCATATGAAATATACTAAAAAAGCTTAAAACGCTCAAATTAAACAAGGTGTTAATGTAAACAAATTATCTATGCTACAAAACCAATGTTTGAAGATGATCGAGGAGGACCCAACCGAATTTGAAAGCAACTTAGCTAATAATAGATCTACAATGATTTATTTAGATATTCTCGGTCCTTTAAACAAAGGTTACGATCTTTTGTTTATCTAAACCAAAACATGCAAAGGACCCCTTTATGCAAGCTGAATTGTTTTCCAATTTTCTCCCTCATATTTTTTGTTCTTACACATTTACTCTACCCACTGACTATCCTTATCTACTGGAAACCACTGATTTCCACATCGAAACTCACTACTGAATCAATATGCTTGGACTGGACAAAAAAGGCAAAAGCCCGGACGGGATTCCCGCAATTGTATATAAGAACTCTAATAGAATCATCAGAAAAGAGATACTTACGTAAGCATTGGGAATTAACCCAAAATGATAATCGAAAGTCAGAATTTAAAATTAAGAACATTGAGTTTTATCTAAAAAATGCTATAATCGAGTGTTCACTATCTCCAAATTCGTTTTCTAACAACTTAACTTTTTTATTGTTCAACATTAGAAGCATGATCAATCTCGATAAAAGGAAAAAATTAGCCAATTTTGTCAATACAATTGGCTGCGATTTCTTCTTTTTTTTGTAGAAACATTGCTAACAGATATGTTTGAAGACGAAGAACTATTTCTTGCCAATTTCAGATTTTTCTGTTTGTCAAGACCCACACGTGACTTTTCTTTATCTAGGAGTGTTCTAATTGGAGTCAAGTCTACGTTCCTAACCGCAAAATTATCGATCTTACGCATTCCTGGTATAATTGAAGGATATCTGTTTCTAATAAGTGGGAAAAGATATTACTGATTTTAGTTTATAACCCTCCGGACGATTGTCCTTGTTACTAAACTTGGGAACGACTCACTCCTGTTATTTATGATATAGGGATAAGGTGCACTAGGTTGACTTCTCATCAAACGATGCCTCGCAGCAAAGTTTCATAGATTTGATTATAGAAAAAGACATGGAACAAATAGTTGACTTTAACACGCGTGCAATCGGTACCCTAGACAATGTTTTCATTAGTAAATATATTGAAAAACAATCTTATTACAAACAACTGGTAAACTTAATAATATGTCAATTCATATAGGAGTTATTTGTGAATTTGGCATCGGAATCATATGTCAATTCATGTAGGAGTTATTTGTCTATATAGCATCGGTATACATCAAGTTTTACAAGACCAAATAGAAAAATCGCAAAATTCAGCTGCTGTAGTGGAGATTACAATCGGTTATAGGAGCTTGTAGTAGATAAGCCTTTCCAAGGTATTTGTTGGAGCAATTCCAATATTCTCTTAGACCAAAGGTATGCATGGGTATTCGAAATAGTTTATTTGTAAATCGGTACTGCGTAGAGCAGCTCATAGGTCGTCTTTAGCACCATGGATCGTCAACGAACAGACAGATGTAGAACAGAAAGTTTCTGAGCATGCCCGCATTCAAAACTCCCGTTATATTCCATTTTTTAATATGTTTATTTTAATTCCACCAACTTCGATTTCAGTATATCAGCTTATGTTCCGTTTTTTCTCTAAATCTTAATTTGGCTGAAAAGATTTCGACTTAAATTATATCGGCTTAGAGGCTTCTTTCTGATTCGTTTGAGGATCAAAAAATTTATCCAATTGTTTCGAGGGAGGATTTAAAAGTTGAGTTTCTAAGTTTTTCTTATTCAAACGTTTTCTTCGACGCAACGTGTGTCTGCTGAAGAATTGTTCGCTTTGTTACCGCTTTGCTTCGCATCTCTTTCTAGAACTTTAAAAGATGAGAGTCATCCATTTTTCTATCGAAAGCAGGGGAGAATCTAGGGTTTTCTGAATTGTGAGGCAGACTTTCAAAAAATTTTCGAAAAAATGGTCGACTTTTTTTTAGGTCGAGAAAATTGATTTTCTGAGCACTACCAGAACACTGTAAAGACCAGAATGTTCGCGCCACAGTCAATTTTTACAAAAATGGTCAGAACAGCTGCGATGAGAGGGCAAATGCCCGAGCGGGGGGGGGGGGCGTCGGCCCCTAAATCCGCCACTGATGGCAAGTGGTGCGTGCGAAGCTCTGTTACGTTGAAAACGTTTTGAACTAATACTTAAGTAGTCTTTCATCTGAGTTTTTGTGTTAATATTTACAATAGTTTTAAATTACTAAGAGTAAACGACTAAAAACAAGACCAAACAAGGATATCCGGTTGCTGTGCAAATAGCTCAATGTTGCGTTGCGACAACAATCCTAGAATTTTTTTTCAAGTCAGTGTCTGAATTTAAACGTCGTGTGATTGTTCAACTATACGAACGCGTAGAAATTTAGCGAATTAAGCTTAAACGGCTTCAACTGTCTTCTAAGAAGAAACAAATAAAAATATAGAAAAATGTTAGAATTTTTTTTCAATGTTTTGCACTAAAAATTTTAAAAAAATTTTTGCCCGTGTTTTTTTTTCAAACGAAGCTTTCACAACTAGTTATGGAAAACACAAAAAGTTGAAAAACTAAAACACCCGAATACAAAGTTCTTCCCCATTGTCAATGGTCGGAACATTGACAAAATTGCCATATCTGAGTTGAAAATATTCTGTTTGCTTTCAGCCTTGCCTCCAATTCAAACAAAATTTTATTGCAGAATATGCAATAAGCCATACAAATTGCAAAGGAATCTGAGAAACCATATTAATGACAAACATCGAGAGTTCTCAAGCGATTTGAGTCCTTCTACGCAGCAAGCTTCTCCTTCAGGTAGATCTGACCCGTCAGAAGACAGTGAGCATGAGCATGTCGAATTAATTACCATTTTTGGCCAGAAATCCATTTTTGGCCGACCGACCCTATAATTTTTCTAAAGGCGCCTTTGGCGCCAATATATACTAACTTTGAAGGGGAGCGCGCGCCTAAAAAACGCGATTTTTTTTGTCAAAATTTTTCAAAAAGTGCCCAAAAACGGCTTTTTTGACTGTTTTTTCAAAAATTTGCCTCCGGCGCAGAAAATTTAGCCAAAATAGGGGCAAAACAGTGTATGGGAGGGCTCGAAAAATCAATTTGGTCGACCTAAAAAAAAAGTTCGTCAAAATTTTGGAAAATTTTTTGAAAATACCCCCCCCCCCCCCTCCCTCGAGAAAATCCTAGATCCGCCCGTTTGAAATTAAGAAAAAACTGGTGTTTCAGCTACTCACTTGGAATCTCCGACTGAACATCAACAGACGCCTAGTGGGATAAATGAGACGCCGCCGGTGGAGTTAATCAGTGTAATTGGCGAGAGTGTAGTGTTGGCGCTAGAATCATTGTCGAAAGAGGAAAAGGTAAGTGTTGCTTTATGATAATGGTAAAATTATATCCTTCAATCATTTCAACTTTTACACAAATTAAGCAGACATGTTAAGCAGACATGCTCAATTTCTTGAAAGTTCAAATAAAACTACTTCCTAATTCATTTGAGGTAGTAATTTGTTTTTCAAATATATGCATTGAAAAAATGTTGATTTTTTGGATTTCTGGTTTTCGTCCTTATTTCTGTCGGCTGATTTTCAGTTTTTTTTTTCAAATGCAAATTATTTTTCTTTCCAACGCTTCGTTTTTTTTAATTTTCTAAATCTAGCAGTTCCTGTTTGATAAAAACAGGTATTTTGAAAATGTATGGGATTTGGTTTTTGATCTTTTTGATAGGCTTTGGAAGATTTCTCGAAAACTTTATTGGTTCTAAAAAATCATCACCGATTTTCAAAACAATGGTTCCAATAAAAAGGCCGCTCTCTCTTCTGCCTTCCTGCATAATTCACTTGTCTCGTTCTACCAATTTACCTTTCCACAGCCTTTTGAGTTACTTTTAAGCTTCCGGTCCCGGTCAGTGTGTCTCACAGTATTTTTGCCCTGCAATGTTTCTTGGAGCCTTCTCTATTAGCATAGCATATGATCTGAACATAGAAAAAAAAGACCAAAAGGAAAAACAAAGAAAAATTGGGCTGCGGAAGTACAATGATCGATAAAAAACAATACTCAACATAAGAATCTGGACAACCGGCTCACGACAGAAGGCGATCTCGATTGGGACTCATTGCTCTCGGCAATTCAGGGGCGCCGCTGGCCCCAGTTGACTGGGAAAATGTGGAAGGAAATGGTGACGATGAATCTTCGCGTTGCACATTTCTTCGTTAGGGAAAACTGCTGCATTGTTATCACTATCTCCTAAGCCCAGTCATGAAAACAAATAAGGCACTTATTAACCCCACTCCTCGACAAACACTTGACAAAAGACCGCAAGTTTGTTACTGTCCCCTCCACTCCACCGACCCTGACACATTTTCACTTACTTCTCTTGAGAACTTGGGAAGGCTACAATGAGACCCCCGCCCCCAAACCAATTGCATATCGTACAAATTTAATATAGATAGCCGAGCTTGGAATTTTCAGCCTTACCCTTCTTCTCTATCTAGACTAAGTTTTCTACTTTTTTCAACAACTTCACCTGGAAATTTCTACAATGCTTTGCCACGCTCTTTTTCCCGAGGAAGAGACAGTAGTATAGTAAAAGTGGCTAGGAAAATGACCACTTTTAACCCCCCCATTTTTCGGTGTGCCGTTGTACTTACCACTTTTAACCCCCAAAGGGGTTAAAGCCCCTACTTTTTCGGGCACGCATGTTTTAGGGGGGGTTAAAATTGGTAATTTTCCAGCCACTTTATGGAAACCGGAATGGACTTAAGTTTTGGTTGGTGCATGTTTTCCCTTTGACTTTGACAGTTCAAACTTTACTGCGCGCGTTATATTGTGGATTATTTTGTAATCTTTATTGCCACGTGTGGAATTAAATAAAATGCTGTGATATTGGTAAGATCAGTTCGTTGAAGTTCAATAAAGTTGTTTCTATCTCCTAAAACTTCAAATTTGAGCATGGGAACATCAGGTGAATAAGATGGACCAATTTTTTGAGTGAATGCATTCTCAAATGTAACGAGTAGAGGGGGTTTTTCAAATAAATCTAATGAGCTGTGAGTTGCTTCAGT